ATTCCACAGTTTGATGACAATTATCATCAAATCAATCTAGAAACTTGCCTGAGGTGGAAAGAGGTATCTCAGAGAGCTTGAAGGGCTGAAAGACTAAGGGTCTGGGGGCTACTAGAGGTACCCACAGGCACCCAGAGGGGGATTTCAGATGGTCCGAGATGATTTTCAAGCATTTAGTTAGAAGGCTTAATTATTACTTCAAAATAAGACTTTTCAGGGTCTGATAATTTGTTTGATATTGATATTTCCAAATAATCTACATTTTCAACTGTTACTATGGCTACAGATTTATTTAGCACCTTATTATACCTGGATAATAAATATGTCTGTATTTGACAAAGATTGGTTTAAAGAAAGGGCTGACATGGTAAAAGCCTTGAGTTGTTTGGAAGAGACAATAAACAAACCCAATCAGGTGCAGAAATGAAGGACGTTAAAATCAATTTCATTTCAAGTACATCACAATGGGTCTTATATTCAAATAGTGGGCCTAGGAAAATGAACCAAGACACCATAAAGATCCCTTGACAGTTGGAAATTGAAAAAGAGTAGGCTAATGCCGCTGTCCTGGCACTATTTTCAACATTGCACAATCCATGGCGTCGATTGTCTTTGTTAGTATAATCGAATGCAAAAAATACGACCTATAACATCATTTCATATCATTTATTTCACAATGGGTCTCAGATTTAGCAGGTGTGGTTTTTTACTGATTTCATTTGTCGTCCAGATTACGTGTTTTAAAATCCTTGTATTCTTATATCACTCGCTTTCTACATTCAAATACTCACTTTGGATCTACAGTAAAATGATCAACATTAATTAAAACAACTGTAAAACTTTAATAATACGATCTACGGCCATTGCACCATAAAAATAAAACTTGTGTTTATTTCCAGAAGTTAATTGTCAGCCATATTTACTTATCGAGTCAGTCTAAACCAACCGTTAAATTAAAACTATTTTCTGTAAAAATGTGATCCATCGTAAACTATGTGTCTTCTGTGAATTAACATAAAAATGTTCAGAATATGTCTACAAGAATGGTTTGATCAACAAAATTGAAGTTTTCTTTTTATTTTTAATGTAACTTTTCGGTTAGTAGAAAATGGACGGGGCAGATAACTCTGTTACTACTGTCGTCTGCACTCGATTCGTCGTTCGCTTAATAAGTCAAAATGTCAATTACTGAGACGAACACACAATGTTAAGGTTTGCTCAGAATTTCAAGCGTTTACAGTTATTAGATTATGAGATATTCAAGAAAATAAGAAAAGTAGGCTTACTTTGTGTTATATATCATTAGAAAGAAGATATTGCGCACAGTAAGGATTTAAAAATTAATGTGGAAAATTCGTCAATTGCCTAAACGTTTTTCGAAAATTATAGCATAATAGCGAGGACGTCCACAGAATTTTGGATGGGTCAAACCATAGAACTCTATACTGAATTTTTGTTAGAAGGGTTCAAACACTGTCAGAGCCAAAGAAGATTTTGAAAATTTGTGAGGATGCCCTCGCTTAATGAATACATAAAAGTTGTGGATTTTCTTTAAATAACCAGGAGCCGCGGTGGCTCAGTGAGTTAGACGCTTGCTCGCTAACCTGAAGGTCCAGGGTTTAATCCCGGCATAGGTCGAGATAATACCTTCGGATTTTTCAACCCGGTTTCCCCTGTCAGTGATGCAGGTAAGAGGGGCTGACATGGAAAAAGCGTCTAGTCGTTCGGGACAATAAACCGAGGCCCCGTGTGCTACAGGCTGTGCACGTTAAAGATCCCTCGACAGTTGGAAATCGAAAAAAAGAGCAGGCTAATGCCGCTGTCCTGGCAAAATTTCCCTCATTGCACCCTTCATGGCGTTGCCCGTCTTTATTAGCCCACAAGGTGCAGAAGAGTAGGACGTAAAACTCCATTCATTTCATTTTTAAATAACCAACCTGACTAGTGCCGATCTAACGGTATAAAAAATAAAAATATTAGTTTATTCCACATTAGGCCTAGGCTACAACATTCTTTAAAACTTCAGCTGTCAAAAGATCTTTCTTTGCTTACAAAAAAGTAGCCGTCATTTGTTCTCCACAGTAACGAAGCCAGTTGGGGTAGGCCTCCCAATAAAAACGGTTTATAACTTCAATTTCTAATAGATTTAAAAATATAATTTAATACCTTTTTACATTAAAATATTTGTAGGCTATGAGTGCATCTAATCAATTCTATTTTTTTTTAAATTTCATAGAGGAGAACCCTAGCTCCCAGAAGCTGTGAGGTTCCGCATATGCCCTTCCCCAGAGCTGCGCATTTTGAATCTCATCTCTTGTCCCCGCCATTGAGTCGGTCTGCCACCATTTGGAACTACCTTCCTATAATCTTGGGAGGCTGGTGCCGACTCCGATCTCTCACCCCTGATATATAGGTATAGGTATAGCTGACTAGGGGGAAGCAATAAAGGTCACAAAAATGTAGGCCTGGCAGTGGCGACGCCAGTAATAGTTTGCACCCCCAATAATCGAACTCCCACTTTTTTTTAACAAATTTGAAAAATAAGCTTTTTTTTACGTTGTTGCCCAAAATAATAAACCAAATCAATTCATTTTTTCTTTATCTTGAGAGAAAGCTTCAAAACGCTCCATGAGAGAGCCTCCATAAAGTTGCCGCAATTTTAATTCAGCTTTAAAAGCTACCCCCTCACCCCCTCCCCCTTCATTGCGTCTGTCCCCTATTTGCACCCCCATTCTCGAGAGGCTGGAGCCGACACTGAGGCCTGGACGAAAGAGAATAATCACAAAATGAAAAAGACACATTCCATCGGAAAATTCAGGGTTTCTGAGAATCAAAGTAAGTAAATTAAGGTGCTCACCTTCCCTGATCAAAAGATGTTATATCTAAGCATTTAAAACATGGTGAAGCAGCAATATAATTTATTAACATTAAAATACATAGAAATATACTGAAAGATACGCCATTAACAGAGATCTTTAACAAGATCATCAAGTGTCAGCTGAATTACATCAAACGTGTCTGCTTTTGTAGCTTGGGAAGGATCAGATGCGACTGCTTCCAGTTCAGTCATATCGGCACCATCGGTAACTCCTATAGTGTGAATATCTGTCCCAGCGGCTTTAGCAGCAGCCGCATTCGGCACGGGACTAGGAGATGAAACTCCATCAGCAAGGACTATCATAACATTCGGGACTCCAGCTCGACCTTGGGTCTCTAGCATCAATTGAGCTGCATCAATACCCTTTCCGGCATCCGTTGTACTTCCTGGATGATTTAGCGCTCGGATGTCTGTCTGCAGTTGATTGGAATCACTCGACATATTAATTACAGCCCGTATATCTGAATCAAAAACTATCAGACCAACATTTACCACTGCCGGGTCCAGATCGAACCGTGGCATGGCATCTGCAATTCGGTTTACCATGGTATCAAAATTAGTAGGACCTACAGACCCGG